GATCCCACACTCACAGATGCCACGTGCACCCAAGGACCACCATGTGCCTCATCCAGCTATGCAACGCAGCTCGGCTATGGCTGCCTGCTTCTCTCTCAGCTCGCCCGTGAGCTCGTGAGCCTGGCCAGCGTGTAGCGCAGCATGCGGCCAGTGCCCGAATACCGAATCTGGAGGCAGGTCCATTCCTAAATGGAAGTGGCCTGCCTGCTGCGTGCGGCCAAGCTGCCCTGAGCCCCGGCCCGGAAGCTTTCGGTAGGACCCGAGAGGCTGTGCCTCTGTCCAGACGAATCAGGCCCAGGGCCTGTGGTGGTTACCGGTGCCCAACTGCCCGTGGCCTATGTTCGGTGCATGTTGCGTATCTGGCCCAGGGCCTGCCTCAGTTACATACGATAAAGGCAGCCTGGGCCTGGGCGCTTTCAACCAACTGGTGCTGCGCAACTGCCTGAATTTTCCCGCAGTTGCGTGGTAGTCCAACATAGGCCTAGGTCGGGCCTGCCTTCACTTAGGGCGGCCGACCTGGCTGATAACAGGGCCCAGTAGGGCTTACCGAGGCCTTGTGCCTCGCAAAAACTAATGATGAAAGATTTGTTTTGTCAGACTCACACCAACTCGTGAGGAGGCTGCACCCTCAACAATCTCCATAATCCCGATACTAATGCTTAATGAACCCTTCGACCCTTGCTGAAAGCAGATTGCCGGCAGGCAACATCACAAATGGAACATAGCAGCACTGCAGCAGACAACAACTCGGCAAAGCACCAGGCAACGTTGTCGAGGCCACCGAACTGCACAATGCCAAAGCTAACTGCATGGAACGGCAACACAAGCATACCGGCAACATGCCAATTAGACAGTGAAGCACAAAGGAGCGATGCAAATCGGCCAAACTTTATGGCACACAAGTGCAGAGCAAGAGAAGACAAGGCACGCGAATGAGCAGCAAGGCAACAACGCAGTGAAGCACAAGGGAACACCAACAACACAGCCGAACTCCACAACAAACACACCAGCTGCAAAGAACGACATGGGAAGGAAGCGGGATGAGCAGAAAGGCAGCGGCGGAGCATAGACAGGGCAGCCCACAATCCAATATGGAGCAAATCAGCTCATCACCTACTCGCATCGCAAGTGAGTTCCACGGACTTTTGGTTCCCACCACCCGCAAAGCCGAGGAGTCACGCCTATGAACATCCATCATCACCAGTAGCATGCACAGACATCCCAAACTAAGCCCCCCCCTCTAATAGTACAAAAACTCCAAACAAGGACTGAGTACTTTGGCACTGCTTAGAGGTGCTCACTTGGACACACAGAAAGTACGAAAGGGAGAACTTACATAACACTGATTTTTAAAAATTTTGTTTTTGTGTTGTTGTGTGTGTGTGTGTATGTGTGTGTGTTATGTGTGTGTGTGTGTGTGGTGGTGGGGGGGGAGCAAGATCGTAGCTTCCCTGGCCAATCGCCAGGGCTATTTGGGTCTGTGTCTGTTCAGCCTGTGGGACCAGGTCGTTGGCCTGCTCTCACACGCAGTGTGTCTATGCAGTCCAGTCCAGTTGGGTACCACCGTCGGTACAAATCTAGTCCAGTCCAGTCAGTCCGCTGGGGGTATACCCCAGCTGCAGTCTGTATCCGGGATCATTCTTCATTTTTGCACAGCTTTGGAGTACATGCGTGTTGAGTCTACAGCGAAGCTGCTTCTCTCCCTCATCTCTCTGTCTTCAACAGCGACGGGACCGCCACCCCGGTTGTCCGGTTACACTGGTATCAAAGCGGGAACGTTTCCCGCTCCCATTGATCCCGTCCCACACCCAGCAAGCATCAGACGCCTAACCTCGGACAGCGGGATTTCAAGGCTTTTTGGAGCGCTTGGAGCAAAAAACGATGGGAAAATCAGCAGCGGCGCGATGGGACGGAGAGAAAAAGGAACACATGTCCGGTGCGCGTGTGCGTGCACCGAAGGCCAAGGTCACCGCATGTGTGTGCTGCACTCCGCGCCCGCGCCGCCCCACTCCCGGATATATCTTTGTCAAGATCGAGGATGCATGCTGCTGGTCATGCGCGTGTGTAGCCAATGCCTGAGCACACTGGCCATAGTCTACATATGAATGGACTATGTGGCACGTTGCTGTTGAAGATTGCCATGTCAGCTATTTCCCCCTCCCCCCCCAAGTCGGCGAGCAGCGGGCGGCACAGCAGCAGCGGGCGGCACAGCAGCAGCGGTGGTGCTGGTATTTGCCCCCTCCCATGGCTGCTGCTGCCTGTGCACGTGACCATCTGCAGTGCCACATGGCAGCTTGCTGAGGGACTTGAAGACCCCCCTAGCTAGGGGACTGCGCTACAGTGACATCTGGGTGGCTGATCAAAATCTCAGCCTACCCCATATATTTTCTTTAACTGCAGATCTGATTTATATGATCAGATCTAACTGCCGAAACGGCAGTTGACCATCACTTTCTCCCAAGGGTTGTTTGAAGGCCAAGATCCAGTGGATCTTGGTATTTTAGCCGCTCTTGGCCACCCAAGAGTTGGGTATCACCTCTCCTCATTTTTTTTTTAGGCCAGCACCACAGCCTTTTTGGTACTCTCTCTCTCTCTCTCTCTCTCTCTCTCTCTCTCTCTCTCTCTCTCACACACACACACACACACACACACACACACAACTTTTTCTAATCCTACCACTAATCCCTCACCTTTTCTCACTCTTCTTTCCTCTTTTTTTCACTTCTCTCTCCTCCTTACCACTCCTCTCTCATATCCCTCACTCTTCACTCATTTTCTACCATTTTTTTCTCTCCTCTTGTGGCATACTGCATAGCCACACGGGCCTGTACGGCCCGTCCCGCATTCTCAGCCTAAAAGCCTAGAAAATAGGGCTTACAGGCCCCATGTCGTTTCAGCCTGAAACTGAAAACGAGGGCCTGCAGGCCCTATTCCGTTTTCAGCCTATATCAGGGTTTTTCAGCCCTAAGGCTTTTCAGCCTGAAACGGAGGGTCACTTTCGGGCCCTCATAAGATCGACCTAACCTAAGACTCAGGCACAAAAACAGGGTTTTGGGAACAGGCTATTTCTGGCCTGTTCCCCACGACAGCCTCGAGCAGGAGCTGCAGCGGCAGCCCCTGACTGCCTTCGGCATTGGCAAGAGCAGCCTCCTGGACTGCCTCGCCTGCAGCCATGAGGTACCCGAGTAGTACATAGGAAGTTCCCATGCACTTCACAGGTAGGTAGTTGGACAGTAGGATGAGTAGTCTTCAGGATTCGGCCGCAGCACTCAGGAGGAGCGCTGCAGGAGGTAGCTTAGCGCTAGCAGTAGTATTCAGCGCTGGGCGCTAGTAGCCATAGCGGTAGTCTTCAGCGCTGGGCGCTAGTAGGTGGTAGTGGTAGTGTGGAAGAGAGATGGCTGG